TAACTATGGAACCTCCATGATGCAATCATCTTCCTGAAGCACTGGTACATGAGTACATGAGATGTTGGCCATAATAGCCAGAAAGAAAGAAATACTCAAAAATTTAAAGGAGAGAGACATGCCAAAGTTATAGAAGAGCTAAACTGAAGGAGCTTTCAACAACCAAAGCTAGAACAATCCAAACAAAAAAATAAATACAGTATTAGATTATAATCTGAAGTTTTAAATGTGCATCCTTGAGAAAATACTGATATAAAAGATCCTCTGTCCCAAAGAGCTACAAATATTTAAAGGAAAATTTTCTCTCCTGGACTGGGGAAATAGCTCAGCACCAAAAGCACCTGCATGGCAAGAGAAAGGTCCCTAGTTTGATCCCCAGTACTGGAAAAAAAAAGAGATAGATAGAGATAGAGATAGAGATAGGGAGAGAGAGAGAGAGAGAGAGAGAGAGAGAGAGAGAGAGAGAGAGAGAGAGAGAATACATTCTCTCCTATAGGTTACATTAATCAGCTTTGCATTACTATAACAAATACATATGATAATTAACTTACATAGAGAAAAGTAATTTGGCTCACATTGTTTCAGTTTATCACTGTTTGGCCATATAATTTTGGAACTGGCCTATGGTAAGAATATCTATATCTATCTATATCTATATCTATATCTATATCTATATCTATATCTATATCTATATCTATATTTATATCTATATATATAAATTATGGCAGAAATACCTAGTAAAACAAAGTCATTTATAGTGGTATTTGGTTCATGAACTTAATTTGTTCTCTTATTTTAGAAAAGATGGCCATGTTTGTGTTGGAAAGACAGTCATAATAGGTGTTTGTCACCTGAAAGAAAGTTTGCAAACAAAATAAAAAAACTTTCCAAATGCTTCTTTGGTTTTTCAAACCAAATTATTTACAAACAAAAGCATTTGTGAAACCAGGTACGCTGTGTTTTGTGGCCAGAAAACAACTGACAGCAAGATGAAGGGGTCAGAGTCCCACTATCCTCTTCAAGGGCATGTCCTCAAATGACATCAAGATCTGACATTAGTTTCCATTGCTTGAAGGTTTCATTACATCCCATAATAACAACACCCTGCAACTGAAGCCTGTAATGTGAGCCTCAGGAAGAATATTCAAGAACCAAGTTACAGTAGAGGTGGAGCTCAAAAAATTTCAATCCACATTTTTGAATGTAGACTGTACTTAGTAATTTGCTTACAGGAAGTAGAGTGTGAAAAATGGAATAGAAATAATTTCACAGTGGAGAAACATGGAATATTGACCTTGATCAGGTAAGTATTATGGTGATTAATAATACTGATAGGATATAACCTTGAAATGATTTTGATGAGAATGGCATTCGTATGGTCTTCATCCTTAAAATCAATAACCCCAGGCTAATTGTGAGAAGTCAGTAAAGCCCAGATTGACAGACATCGTATAAAGTGTCTGACTATGCAGTACTCCTCTAGCCTGTCAGGATCATCAAAGTCATGGAAATCTGAGACAATGTCACAGGTGAGAGTAAGCTATGGAGACATAACAATTGAATGTAATTAAAACAGAAAAGAACTATAGGGAAAAATTACTGAAACCTGAATAAAGTGTGTAGTTTAGTTGATCACTATGTTATTACATTTAGAGTCTCTTCTGTGACAAAAGTATCATAGCAATGAATGACAGTAACAATATTGGGATCCAGATCAAGTTCATTCCATGTTACCTTTATATATTTTCTGGAAATCTAAAGAGATTCTAGAATAAACAGTGCATTTACAAAATTGGATGTCCAAGTAAAGATGGGTCTTGGAATTCTGAAAACATAAATATTTTTATCCTATTATATAACATCATGAACATAAAATAAAAATTAATCAAATAGCAAAGGAAGGAGGACACTATACAGTGCTTTTTAAAAGTAGGAGTACTTAGAAAGTGGACAGATGATTTTGGCTAGATTCACTTCAAGGTCATAAAAACAGGTACTAGAAAAAGATAATGACTAACCAGATACGAAGAATTTCTAACTAATATCATATAGTTTAGAAATAATCACAGAAAGAAGCAAGCAGGTAAACCACAAAAAGTAAATGAAATCCTCCTGAGTTGAATTCTATATTATTGAAGAATATATAGAAAGGAAACAAATATTAGCAAGGATGATTTTTTTTTTTACTATCATGGTATAATAAAAACCCAAAAGTAATATCCCACGGTGTAAAGATAAGATAGAACAGACCAGATAGCATGTGCCTTCTATGAATGATATCAAAGAAGTCTCCTAAATAAAACTCAAAACTTTCAATGAAAGGGGCATGTAGTCCCAAGGAGTCTTCAACTTCCATCCCCACTGCAGCGATCAAGGATTATATATAAGGGTAGCAAGAGAATAATATTTACCCAAGAAGTGTACTTCAGATATTGTAAATGAGTTTCAAATATCTATTTATCAAACAAAATTCATACATTTGGAAAGCACAGAGACCAGGGTTTGAACCCCAGTCCCCAGGCACACTGGGCTGGTGAACACGTTCAGGAATGGTGGCACACATCTGTAATCTCAGAGCTGGGGAGGCTGAACACAGGAGGATCACTACGAGTCAGAGCTGCATAGTGAGAACCTATACCAAATATACAAATGGAAAAAAAAGAAACTCATACATAGCACATTAAAACAAAAAAATGTTTTCTGGTTGTTTTATTTTGTAATTTTTTTAAAGACAAGGTCTTACTATCTAGTTCAGGCTGGCCTTGCACTCACTATATAGTCCAGGCTTGCTTCAAGCTCTTAGTAATCTTCCTGCTTCAGTCTCATGAACACTGGGATTACAGGCAATTATACCCCTATAGCTGGCTAAAGAAAAGTTTCTCGTAGAATTATTTGTTTTTAGTTTGGTAGATGAAATGACATGGAATTACAAACATCCCAGAAACACAGTACAGTCATCACCAAAAAAGACAAGATCATACTAAAAAAGAAGAGAAAAACCCAGGTGCTACAGCTTGAATGTTTTCCTCTCTAAAATTCATATTGAATTTTGTTGTCACAGTACTGAAATGTATGACTTCTAAAGTGTGATCCTGCCGGAAGGGCTCTACTTCTACATGGTATCTTTTTTGTTCTGCCTTCCTCCAAGTAATCATGTACACATCAATAAGGTCTTTTCAAAATGCTGGACTTTTTTCTTTCCAACCTCCAGAAGCAAATAACCAATTAATTTTTGTTCATTACAAATCAACCAGTTATAACCAGGCATGGATATTGGTCTGTAATTCCAATTACTGGGAAAGCTGAGGTAGGCGAGTCTAAGTTTGAGGCCAGTTTGGCAACTTAAGAGGACCCTATCTCAAACTAAATAAAAGGAAAAGGGCTAGGAGGTAGTGTTTGCCTAGCATGTAGAAGGCTCTGGATTCAATTTCCAACATGGTAAACATACACACACACACACACACACACACACACACACACACACACACACACCCTCAGTGTCAGTTACTCTGTTAGAGCCAAAGAGATAGAACTAGGTGGAAATGAACGAAACTTTTCTACTATTGGTTGGCATTTAGAAGTGTACATAAAGAACATATCTCCAGTAAAAGAAAATTCATAACAAAGATGCTAAAACAAAACAACGTGAGTGGGAAACTATTTGAAAATAAATGTTGTCACTGAGGGATTCCATATAGTAAAGAACGTGGGCATAAAGATGCCTTCTGTGATCAAAGTTCCAGGAATTAAATTATTTTTAATATCAATGTATGATTAAACAACATAGGGAAGTTTGGCTATAGAAACTAGTTTTACAAATGTAAGTAATGTTAATTTTTTTTAGTTTTGAAGTCTTTATCTGTTAGTCAAATGATGCCATTTAATTGAAATGCATGAGGAGATACTGCTGAATTTTCATACCTTAATATTTCTTAATTTATTTCCCTAAAATTAAAAAGGTCTTCAGGGAATTAATATTTCTTATGGAGAGAAAATATTCCATGAGTCAAAATTTTCTTCAACTACTCTGAAATTAGAGTAATATATAGTACTTATGAGGAGCATATGGTACAGGAAGCTGGTTTCAGGTAACTGGGATGCAAAGAGAGAGGAAAGGGCTGGGGTCTGATATCCCAGTTAATGGCATGACCTATGTGAACAACTTCCTCCTACTAGACCCCACTGCTTGCAAGCTCCACTGCCCCCTCATAGTGACTGGGGTTTGCTGGGAAACAAGCCTTAAACACATATGCTTTTAATGGACATTCAAGAGAAAAACTATATTGCAATTAAAAGAAAGAAAGGAAGGAAAAAAAGAAGGGAGAAGAGGGTCAGACAAAGCAGGAGAGGTGGAAAGCCTGGTGTTTCTAGCAAAATGTATGGCATTGGAGGACATTAGGTAAAGGGTAAAAAACCACGCCCTCAGAAACACATACTGCATTTCTTATTTATATGAGGAGGCTAAAAGAACCAACATCAAAGAAGAATACAAGAAATATTATCAAAGACTAGGAAGGATAGTAGGGATCAAGAGAATTTGAAAACAGGTAGCAAATACTCAAAATCTGTTCTAGAGTCCTGTAATACAGTGCTCTGTGACAGTGTTCTATAAACAGGAACAGGATGTTAAGCAGAAAGCAGCAAAAGGACCTAGATAGCTGAAATACATCAAAAGCTGATAATGAGGAGAGCAGATGATAAAAATCACATAGGAAGGTAAGGACACTGACAACAGAGCTATGGAGAAGTGAACTCACTGTGCTGAGTGGTGCTCCTTCCTCCCTTCCCTTTTTTCCTTCCCCCCATCCCCTTTCCTCTTTTGTCCTTTCCTTTTTCGATTGTTATCCTTGACAAGTAAATTACTAGACAAAAGTTGTGAGGTTATGCAATTTCCTGACATACCAAATAAGAATCAGTAACATTTGGAATATAGTACCACAAAATACACATAATTTATGCATGCTTCTAATATCACATTTTTGTATTACTTTCATACATACATTTTTAGAGACATTTCCATATGCTTGGCTCGTGCGATTGCTTCATCTCGCTCCTTGATGGCTAACTGCAGTCTACACATAAGAGCTTCATCTCGTTCCTTCTGAGCAAAATATACTTCTTCAACTAGATCTAGCAAAATGGATAACACATAATCAATCAAAGAAAAAGGAAATGCATACATTAGTCAAAAATAAATAGTAAAGATAAATGATATTTTAAGGGACATTTATCTTTTTACCTGAATCAGTATCACTTACTTACTTCATAAAACATTTTTAATAGGTATTGTGAAATTGAGATACCAATTTAAAGTTGCAAAAGCAAAATGTCTAAGAACAAAAGTGAGTTTGTGAGCTAAGGTATCTCATATATACTGCAGATACCATATATTTTTACAACCACATCAAGTGTTGTCTGGCAGTGCTTATTAAAGTTGAGTATGTCCTTCTATAGTAACTTAGCAAATCTACTGTTTGGTATGAAGTCTAGAAATTTTGGCATATATGCAAATTGAAGCATTTATAAAAATGTCCATTATAACAGAGTATGTGTTACAAACTTATACAATTACAAATAACCCAAAAGTCCACCATCAGCAAGAATTGGTACACATTCAGAATGGAATATTATCTTGCATTTAAAATGAATTAACTATGAACAAATGAATAAAGCTCTAAAGTAAAATGCTGGCAAAAATAGCAAGTTGTAAAATAATTCAACTGTTGCTACTATTTATGCAAAGATACAACTAGTGAATATCATAAAGCAAACATGTTAATAATGAACAACAAATATAGGATGGCTATTACCTCAGTGGGCTCTCTTAAGGGGAGGAGAAGAAATGAATCAGGAAGACTAAAAGGGACAGAACTGTGCTGGTGGAGTGCAGCACAAATGAAGAGAACAGATGGTATAAAATACATAGGGAAATGCTTAGATTTGTACATTACATGAGACTTGATGTCATATGAACTAGTCATTTATTAAGCATAATTTAAACTATAGTATACTTGAGACTTTATATAATTTTTAAAACATTACTGAAACATCAGTTAAGTGGAGCTTAAATACCAGATCACTGAAACAAATATTATTTGTAATGTCACAGCACAAAATAAACATTAAAAAGGGTTCAGTTTAGCTTATATGAAATTGAGTTTATACCCAAGGTTTGTCAAAAATAATCATGATAGTTATGAATATATTAAACTATAAACTGTAGCAGAGACAAATCTTGACAGATAGATAGATAGATAGATAGATAGATAGATAGATAGATAGATAGACAGACAGATAGATAGATGGATGGATTATAAAATGCAATGTGCAATGGCAAAGTAAAAGCCAAAATCACTTCCAAGAAGCTGAGTTAAAGAGGGAATAACATATCTATTCTTTATTCCATTCAGTCTTCACTAAACACTTAGCAAACTCTGGTGGCAGTTGTCCATCTAGTCTTAAGGGCTGTGTAATATAATACTCTAGCAAGTCCCCAACATCCTGCAGCATACATTCATTAACAGGAGACAGATGGCAGAGAGAAAAACGAGCAGAAAATGAGAAAGGTAGGTAACTAGGTAGATGGGAGTGCACAGTGATAATGGCTTTGAAAAGAAGGCTCTATGAAAGAATAGAGTGACTTTTGCAGATAAGAAATAGACCAGGTTATGTTTATAGAGTATTCCTTTATAAATGGGATAATGCAGAACACTAACACAAAGGGAGATGTGTATGCAAGCTCACACACATGCATACATGTAAGCACACATGAAACATTTCTTTTTCCTTTCTGAATAAACAGACAATGAAAGTATCTTAAACCAGAGATTTAGAAATGTGAGATTTTGGGTGTTTTTGAGGAAAAAAAAAACAAACCACCATACCAACGTGGTTGGAGCATAGTAAGAGTTGGAGGGCAATTGTTCTGAGAACTCATGGTGGTCTCACGAGACATGGTAAGCATTTTAGACACTATCTAAGCATAATGACAGATATTAGAACATTCTGAATGAGGAAGCAAGAGAGGGTTATATTTATGACTGAAATGGAATATTCTGGTTTGTAGATATGAAATGGACAAGTTATTTCAGTCCCCTCAGAATTCTTGTTAATAATGCCCATAAAATAAGTTATTCCCTGGAACATTTAACGATATAGATGCTAACCTCAAATTTGAATATTATATTAAAGGACTTTCAAAACAAACAATTTGATCAGATCTGTGTTAACCCAAATGTTAGAATACTGAATGTATGTATAAGATTGGAGTTAAGGTGGAGAAAAGTTCAAGGTTGGATTGACTATGCCTCTTAATAAATATTAGATTATTGTAATAATCTAATCTAATCTATATAATAAATAATATATTATATATAAATACATATTATCTAATAAAATATCTAATAGGATGAAAAATAGGAAATTCTGAACCAGTGCAATGGCGAAAGAAATGAAAAAGACAAAGAATGTGAGTTCCATTCATAAAAAGACCATAGAATCTAGAGTTAAGCATTTATTGAATTTTAGAGGGCAAAAAATGCAAATGAATTTACTAAGTCCTTCTTATATTTTTCAATAGTAACAATCTACAAAATATGGAGATAAAACAATTGCTCCTCACTACTGATACATTGGCTTCAAGGCAAAAGAAAAAAAATTAGTTGGCATTCAAGGAAAAGCCTAGTTTACTTCTGCGTAATTTACAGTAAACATGCTAAACTTTCTCTGCACAAGAAGGCAACTATAAAATTTGGATAGAATGTACAAGACAACTATCCAACAAAAAAAAAATTACAATTCAGGCCCACTATTGAAATGGCCATGACAATGCCATTTTAGTTTACACTTGGTAACCTCAGCCTGACTCTATCACAACCCCATCATAGCTACTCTTGTTTTTGAGACACAATACCCAAAAACTACAACTGAAAGAAAAGTATTATTTTACTTCAGGGTTACAGTCCATGATTATCCAGCTCCAGGGCAAATAGCATGGGAGAGGGGTATACAAAAGCAAAAGCTGTGTATTTTACTATTTCCAGGAAGTAGAAAGAGAGTAAGGCTGGAGCCAAGGAGGCAGATAACCTTGCCAGGTCTGGCCATTGTGACTGGCCACCTGTGACCAGATCCCAGCTCCTAACACCAAGCCAGCTGCCCTACTGTAATCATCTTCCACAAGTCCCACCTCTGAATGCATGAGGTTGGAATATACATCCAGCTATAAACCATAGCAAGCCCCACTCCTAGCAGAAAACACTATGGTACATACAATGACACAGTAGAAATTGTCTATCTGGCTGGAGAAAACTCCAGAGCTTAGAAACAAGGAAATCTATTGTTTCTTTAACTGTATTTCTAAATGTTTAGCACCATAGGCAACCTCACAAGGAATGCATTATCAATAGACAAACCACTGGCAATTATAAAGTATAGTAGCTAAAACTGTAAGGGAAGAGTACCTTACTTTCCTGTTCATTTGGAGAAGCCAAGAGAAAAATGCTAAAACCTGTTTTTTTCTCTCAATGCCTCTCTCAGAATTAGTAAGAAAAGTTGAAAAGAAAACCTAGTTCAATTCCCGGGCTTGCCACGCTGGCCCCGCCCCTGGGGCACATTGACATGGCAGTTGAGACTGGTCATGGTGGTGCGCACCTGTAATCCCAGCTCTTGGGAGACTGAAAACAGGTGGATCACTACAAGTCTGATCTAGTACTGAGACCCTGAACACTCTGTAGACCCTTCCCTAAAAATACAGAAAGAAAGAAAGAAAGAAAGAAAGAAAGAAAGAAAGAAAGAAAGAAAGAAAGACTAAAACAATCCAGAAAAGGATGAGGAAATAGTGGAAGGCAAGGATCTTAGGAAAGCAACACCAGGTCAGGCCAGTGTTGTGTCTCTTATGAGAAGTCTGTAAACCTGACCAGTACCTGAACGAGTCCGATCCTTATTAGCATGCCAAAGGCCTTGAGACACAAGCTAAAAAAAATCCCACCCAAATTCTAGACTGAATACTGGTAGGCTACAAAAAGGGCATTTTATTTTATTTTTTTGGCTGGCTCAGGCTGCCTTAAGGGCGGGTCTGGTAAGGCATGTGGAGCTGGGGATCGGAACCACCATTCCCTGCGCCTGACTGGATTTGCCAGAGCAGCAGCTTAAACAACTGAGCTAACCCGCAAGCCCCCTCCAAAAGGGCAAATTTGGACTGATATTGGAACTACAGGTCAAAGAAGATGAGTAGTTGAAACTTGTAAGTAAATTGTGTGCTGGAACATCAATAGTATGTAAATAAGATCTAGAATCTCTTAAAATGATATTCAAAATGTCCAAAATACATTTAAAATTACTTTAAATGGAAAAATCAATAAAAACAAACAAATAATGAAAATACTTCCTCTCAATCTCAGTTTGCATAAGACAAAAGTCAAAGAAGTCAAAATTATCTGAAAAACAATTTAAGGTAGTCATTGTAAGAATTTAATAAATGAGCAAATAGCTTGTAAACATTCTAGAAATAAAAGTTAAAATTAAACACAAAGAAATACGAGTGATAAAAACCAAGCAAATTTTATTTATTTATTTTTTACTTATTTTTTTGCATTTAGTAGAGGGTCTACAGGGTCTCATCAGACTTAGTGACCTGTTTTCAGCCTCCCAAGTGCTGGGATTACAGATGTGTGCCACTACACTCAGTCTCAATGGTCATTTCAGCGTGTCCTGGGGGATTGATCCTCAGCCACTGCACTCTGCCTAAACAGATGCTTTAGTCTGCTGAGCTATCTGGCCAGCCCCCAAGCCAATTTTAGAACTAAAAAAAGAAATCAAAATCAAAAACCTATTGGACAATCTAAATAGTGCAGTGGAAATTTAAAAAGCCAATGAACTTGAGGTAAATAAAAAAATATTTGATCTGATTCACTGAAGAAAAAAAGACTGAAAAACGAGCACAGCCTCAGATCCATATGACAGCAAAGGTCATACACTCTCTGCAGTAGAGGAGTGTAAAGATTAAAAGAAAGAAAAATTGAAATAAGGGCTAGAAAAATCCCAAGTTGAAAAAGACTAAAAAACACACAGATATAAGCACCTGACTGCATCCCAAGTAAGATTAATCTAAAAAACCTACTCAAACACAAAAT